GCATGCGGTTATTCCTCCCCAGATGAAGGACCCTACACTTGGTCTTGTTGAACCTCATCATGACCTTCACTTACTTGCAAAATTTGAACAAGATCTTCTCAAACACTAAAACTGGTCCTGTGCTGCCAAGTATTGTGAGAGGCTGTCCACCAAAGAGAGAGTAGGCAATTCCAGTCATGGATGCTCCAAACAGCGATTCTATTGCACTCTGAATATGATACAGAGAAAAGTGTCCATAAATTTTCAAACAGGTTCTTTTTGCAATGTCTTCTAAACAAACATTGAAATATCAATATTTAAAGGTGATTCATGCAACAGTAAGAAAGTACTAACCACAAACCTAGGAATCTAAGTTTGTTTTAAAAGTTCTGATTTAACACATACTATACGACCTTCAGTTGCTTCTCCCAGCAGACCACCAAATGTGATGACAGGAGACATGCAAGCACAGTAGAGAAACAAAAAAGATGCCAGACACTGCAGACTGAGAGCATCCCTGAAGTCACTCCAGAAGAAGGGAGCTTTTCTTTTTATATCTAAAATCAATCCTCCGAAAAATCTAAAAAACAAAACCAGAAGAGAACAAATTAATGGAAAAGACATATCAAACTTTCTTCCACAGTATTGCTTTAAATATACTGTAGAGAAGCTATTGTTCCTTGATCAAATGATACATACTCTTACAATTCATCTTTCCCAGAAAAAAGTTTCTGGGAACTCTGTTTTGATAACTTTAAACAGGAAATTGTACTTTTAAAACAAACTAATTTGCATGTTTCCTTTATAAAATCTTAATCTAATCATCCAGACTCAAAACTTCTGAACATTTTTTAGCTAACATGCATAAAACCCTATTATTTGGTATGTGAAATAATTCTTTTCATTTGTTTAATTAGAGAGCTACTACAGTGAAACCTCTACAAGTACCCATTTGCCCACATGTCTACATACAGAGCTTCACATTTTTTATTTGAGAACCTGTTCCTAAATAAACTTGATGATAGAACTGAATGTAGGCCACATTTTCCAAGGACAAGAACTGTCATCTTTTGTCATTTACACTACGCTAAATATAATCAAATATTTAGGGACAGATGGTCTCTTACAATATACCGCAAAGTTAAAGTAAACATCCTCACAGTGCTCTTTTTCTCACAGGCACCTGATGTATCAGATGTTGCAGGGGTAAAAAGGAAGACCAAGTGCTATTACCTCTTAAATATTAGAATGATCTTTCAAGCTGTCAGTTACTAGGTTCACCAGTGAGAGAACAGCTTACAGCCAGACTGGCCATCACCTCCTCTACCTCACTGTGTACACCAACACTGCAGCTGAATCTTTAGCCTTATGCAGGTAGAAATGATATTTAAATATCAAGAGGCAGCAAGGTAAAAGAACAGTCTATCACACAACTACACTGCACTAAGGCAACCACTGACAGCTGATGTGCTTACACCATACCATATTAGATGAGAGAGCGTTAAGTATTCCTTGGGGCAAATTCTTCCTTCCGTGTATATTGCAGCCACTGTGGTAATCACAGCCTCATGTACCAGGACATATCATGGCTTACTGAGGTAAAAAAGAAACGCTAGAGCTGCACAACCCAGAAACTTCAACTACAAAATAGTTGTAAGCATTCATAATACATGGCACAAGACTACCCCCAATTTTTCCTTCGTGCTATACAGAAATAAGAAATGTTAATCAAGCTGAACAGAGGTCTGACCTTTTTAAAGAATAGAGAAAGGAGCTTGCAATAAATACAATGTGAAAACTCAAATCCTCTTGCCCTCTCCCTCTCTCTGCAAATTAGCATGTATTATCCTTTTCAGCTATGTGGTACACAAATCAGGAAAAATGCCTCAAAAAAAAAATCATATGCCAAGCCAGTCATTTGAGGAAGAACCAGACCACTGTGATTCCCTTGGAGGTGCATCACTTAGAACACTTAATATTTGGCATATGTTTTCACTAACTTTCCAGTGCGTTGCAGTTCTGGTCCAGAGTGTCCTCCAGGTTGTTCTGTGTCCCCATGGGCTGCAGTCCCATTTGGCACTCCTGGGATCTTACGCTTCTCCTACCAGAAGGAAAAGATACTTCTCATGGGTCTTAGTAACCAAAACACAATTTTAGCAGAAGAAATGGGTTTTGAGAGTTGAAAGATGTGTAAATTTTATTGTAAGATTCATCAACATAATCGCTTCATATGCTGTAGAGGAGTTCTATAAAAGGAAATAGTAGAAGGAATTGTTGTCTAAGAAATTTAAAATTTAAATAACTGATCACAAAAAATCCTGTATCAGAAAACAGTTTAAAGAGTAGCAAGCCAGGCTGCTTTGATCATTTCTTGCAATAAACTTAGAACAAAAGCATACCACGGCTCTTTGGAATAATCAAAGATGCTTATGACTAACTACCCCTGAATTTAAGATCTTTAGATACAACTATCTGTTTTTATTCAGCAGAGACCTAGCACTGAACTACAGGAAATGTCATCCCTAAGACAAAGGTTCTCTTAAAGCAAGCTAACAAAAAAAAAAAAGAAAAAAAGAGAAAAAAAAAAAAGCATGCAAAATGTTTCTAGTGACTCAGCTAAGTGCTAAACTAATGAGACTTAATTCTACCTAGCAAAAATTCATCAGAACTTTTAAAAGTGTCTGAATTTTAACAAGTACAAACCTGAGAAGGAACATTTTTAGGTGGTTCTATTCGAATTGTTGGGTCCCACTCTCCAGGGGGGAGAACAGTAACTTGATCAAGAAACTCATCAATTCCCGACACCAAGTCATTGCGGTCTTTTGCTTTGTAAGCAACATCATGGAACACCTGTGAAAAAGAGAGACGTGTATATGGGAGGAAAAAGAGATGGGGAAAGGAATACTCTCCTAACATTTTTCATGATGGCCTCCTTTCTCTGAAATAGAATGCCACTTCATGCAGTTCCCATGAAACAAACAAAGTCAGCTTCAACTGACTTGGGTTTCTGGTATATAGTTTTCACAGAAGTTCCAGCTGCTATAGAAAAAGATCCTTATGGGTGCTAAACATCCTAGAGATTTTACAGTTTAAAACACAATTCATTCCACTGGAAAGTAACTGTGTAAAATGCTATCTTCTCAGTGAAGATATCCTTCATGTGATTATTGTCTCTCATTTTGTTATCTCCTTATGGCAGTATAATCTGGGCTGTGACAAGATCATTAAATGAACTGGAATGCTATTCGTGCATCATCAGAATGATTAGCCACATTTCATCTGGACAATTCCACACTGGAGATTCCCTATTACACCTCTTCAGACAGTAAAAAATGACTAAAACCAAGCCATGAATAAAAATACCTCATCTGTCATTAGTGTTCCAATTGATCTTCCAATCTCATGGTATTGTTGCCCCTTACCCAGTGGTCCAAGAAGAATAAACAAAAATCTGTAAATAAAAGTTAAATTAAAAAAATTGTAAAGGATAGATCATTGAAAGTAACTATACAAGCTACAGAAATACTCATTTAAAAATTGGACTAGAAAAACCTGTAAGACAAATATTATATATAATCTCCTTCAAGATCTTCACACATAGCATTTAAACATGAAGCTCTGGTTAGAAAAAATGCGAAAATAACTTCCAAAAATATGTCATGAGCTTCAAAATCAGACTTGACTGAGAGTATCAAAATCTCTTTAGATAACAAATCTTATCTTGCATAACAAATATATGCAATTATTACCTACCTACAGAACACTAACATTAATCTATTTAAATCTGTTAATTCAACAAAATTGACTGTTTTATGGTAGCACTATTATTATAGTATTGGGGAAGTGAAATTATCCTTGAATAAAAATAATTTTTAAATCATTCTTACTCCTATTAAGGCTCTAGATAGTCTCTACTCTAGGCTTGGGCCTCATGAGGTTCTGTAATATCCAGAGGATAGGTTCAAATGAAATAAATGAAGTTCTCAGTTTTTCTAAAATGCAAAAGACAACTTTTTGACTAACAATATTTTTCTAAAAATAAATATTTTTGCATAAATCCTTAATTTTCCTAATTTCTAATAATTTAATTTTATTTTGGCCAAAAATGAAGAAATCTGTTGTTTTCCTTATGGCAGGTTTTTCTGGAGGGAAATTGTTGGAGGTTATGAGAAAACCAAGTTAAAGAAAATTTTATACTGTTTATCTGACTAGGAGGAAGAATCTGAGTCTCAGCACTGCATTTCATAGCATAACACTCCTTCCTGAGTGTCACAAAGAAGTGGAATGCACTACTACCATCTGTCAGAATTCTACCTTTATAGGAACTGAAAGAGGGAAGGGGAAAGAGACACAGAATATGTGTACAAACACACGCACAAATTAAAAAAATAAAATTTAAAAAAAGAGAGACTGCAATAATAGTTAAGTCGATGAATTCAGATATGGAAGAATCACTTTGCAGTTTTCATCTGAATCAACCCCAGTAGGAAACAATATATCTGTAGGCCTACTTAAACACTGTCTATTTGAATACAACGTCTATTTTAGACATTTTTTTTTTAAAGTCCTCATAATTTGTTCTCAAAACCAAAGTACTTAATCAGAAAAAGTTTAAACTTAGAAAAAATTAAGCTAATAAAAATTAATGGTTAGAAGTCATATTCACTACCATGCAAGCATCTACAAAGTAACTTTTATAGAGAAGCATGATATTCACAGCATGTTCTTTAACCATTCACCATCCCTAGTCAATTAAATCACACAGTGGTTTTTTTTCCCTTTACTTAATTCCTTCTTCATTTTTTCCTTCTGGACATAATTATGCACCATCACACAAGTAATTTCAGTTCCAGATGAAATATTCTAAGAAGCTGAATACGTCACCTTAGTACTTTATCTACAGTATTACCAGTCTGCATAGAACAAACTGTGTGTTGTAACCTAACAAGCTATCACTTCTACTTCTGCGAAGAATTATTATCTGCACACTCAAATGGTATGCTTCTGAATATATCCATACATCATTTAAAGATGAGTGGAAAGATGTCTCTAAGAGATGTCTTTGTTAAAGAAAGAATCAAATTCGTAACTCAAGAAATTATGAACATTGAAAGTCACATCACCCTTTCTCCACAAGGTACTCAGAAAAATATAAAGAGAAATAAACTTAACTGTACCTTGTTGGAATTGGAACTTCAGCTAGTCCTGTAAGCAGCACTGCAGGGGATAACCTAACAAAAGCAACAACAGCACGGTCCAGGAACTCCAGTTCACCAACTAAGATGTTTGATGCTTCAGCTCCAGGTGGTATCTTCTTCATAAAGTGTAGGTCAACCTGGAAAAAGTATATTAAATTACAATTTAAAAGTTATTCACAGGGATTTTTTTTACCCCTGTTTTGTTGACAGAAACTTTCTAGTTACTGCAATATAATCTTAGTTATTTCAATGACACAGTTTCTACTATTCTTGTCTGTTGAATAATTTTTTTAAATAAAAAAACCAAACAACTAGTCTTTCATTATCTGACTAATTTTTCTTGGAAACATAGTTAAAGTACTGCAGAATTAATTTATAAAAACAACAAATCACATTCAAAACCTTTTTAAGAATACAGTATTAATTTCCTATTAATACATGTTATCAATAATCATAACAGCATGAAAAATTCGTAACAGAATCAGTAATTCATAAAAACAGAAGAAATTAAGACATCTTATTTTTCCATAATTAACAATTCTGGAAATCATTAATTCATAGCTCATAGCTGATGTATTATAATCTCAATGAGAAGAACAAGTTCCACTACACATAATTTTCTTTCTACTACTCTATGTGAGATGTATTTTTCTTTTTGGATTTAAAGGAAGACAGTTGCCCTTCTGCTGAAAATGACAGAAAATAAGCTATGCCCATGACTGTCTCAACAGTAAACTGAAAGAGCTAAGCAGAATAAAAACTCTGGAGTTTTAAGGCAGTGATGTTGACTTTTACAAGGAGGGTAGTTGACTTTTACAAGGAGGGTACGAAAAGACAGAGAAACAGCTTCATCATTAGAATGCTATATAAGCTCAAGGTATTTGCCTAGGAATGTGTTCATTTGTATTTATTTCCTCAGTATCAGTCTAGAGTTTACCCTGCAACAAAGATCGACATGGAGTAATAAAGTATATAATGTATGTTTGATTTCATTATGCACCAGTATTGTCTACATTTCAAAATGCATGAATTTTGTCATTTGCTTTCCTTTTATTAATCTAAACACAACAACAGCAACGAAATCCAATATAAACTGTTAAAGTGGACCATTTTAATGTCTATCTTACAGCCATCTGTCAGTACTAGTTTGCATAGTTTTTGGTAATATTTAGAAAATTGTTTTCTTGCAAATGGCTCTGGCACTAAATCAGAATTCAGATATAACACAGTTGCCTGTGTAATGAAATTTTATTTTTCCAAGATCACAAAGAGATATCTAATGCTACCTTAAGCTAATACAGAATGACAGCCAAACACTTCACAAAGTTAAACAAGCATCAAATCAACCTGGAAGGCTGGAGTCCAAATACTTTTTCAAGGTAAAGAATCAATGAGGTAAATTCTATTCCTCACTCAAATCACAAAATAACTCTCCATGGGTAAATACAAAACCCAAAGAGATGCACTATGCATCTAATTTTGGTGCTACAGGTCATTTACAGTTGAGAACAAGGAAGTAGTCTTTCAGGCAAATAGCAATGTGCATTCTGAACCAAGTTCATCTTGTGAATGGATTTCACGTGTAATGTCTCCTGTACAACATGCTACAGTTGTCACCTTAAGGTCCCACTAACATATAGATCACAGGATCAAGATTCAAATCTGAAATAAACATGCAGTCTCCTGTCTACCAGAAAGTATTTCCAGATATGTTTCCTGTACTATTTATCAGCTTGAGATACAAAAATCTTTTAGGTAGTGAACTGAGCTCCAATTAAAAGGCAAGAAGCTGGCAGAGAAGCATCAAACTGGGCAAATACACTCAAACCCCAGGTGTCGCTTCTGCTACATAACAAGAGCAGAGGCAGCCCTGGAGTGAGTTTGGGGCAATGGCAGAAGCTGTATCCTTTGCATGCCCCATCTAACCTATCCATCATACACCTCTTATCCCAAGAGGTTTTCAGCTGGATAGACCTCATATTTATATTGATCTTCACCCTAACCTGAGCCACATTCATGACTAAATAGTCCCAGCAAGCTTCAATTAAACATAAAACTAACATGGCAACCACTCCCCTCCAGAGCAACTCAAGGACTGAAAAGGGTGGTGGGGGCCTCCCCCAGAATCAAACATAAATTGACATTAAAACAAATGGAAGATACCCAACAACACTTCTTAGGAAAGCCCTGACACATATTAATCAAATTTATTTATAAGCAGGCCCAAGCACTATTCAAAAACAAGTCAATTATTTCACATGTTATTTGAAAGAGCAAACTCTTGTCAGTATGGGACCGGGGTTTGATTCAGAAATCCTTTTTCCATGTGGAGCATAGGAACATTACCATGGGAAGGGACATGGGTGCAGCTCATATTTCAGGACAACTAGGGTTCCCTTCAGCCTCTGGCATAAGAACCAGAGACCAGCCAGATGCAGTTGTTAACCTGCCAACCCATCCTGCTCAGACATAAGATAAAGTGGTGCTGTGACAGATCACCTCCATATCACCCCAGGTCTACTTGGCATCCCCAGAAAAAGAGGACTGACACATTTACAAAGACAAACTACATCAGAAACTATGTCTGCCTCTTTGTGCTACTGAAGTAACATTCAAGACAGCTTTTAGTGCCATGACTCACATTATTCATAAACAGATATCAATAAAATCAACAGGCTCAGTGCCGTATTCAGATTAAGCCAGCTTTCTGAATCAACTCCAAAATTTGGAATATCGGAAGTAGCCCAAGGGAGATAGATTAGCAAGGAGAGAATGTGTGAGGTAGTCAAAGGTGCTTTTTTGTAAAAGAAAAATGAAATTCATATGTGGAACAAAATTGGAGCAAGAAATCACAATACTCAAGAGAAAAACAGTGTACTGCTCTACTTTCCTCTCTATCTGTGCATATAATTCCAATTATAACCATTCAGAGTTACTGCAATAGCACATTTCAAGGGGAAATTGTACTTTACTTATGCCTCTTCAAAAAGATAAATGGGTCTATTTAAAGGCAGTCAAAAAAGGTATTTAGATTACAATCCTTTACTGTTATTTCATTCCTGCAAACAAAAGTTGTTCCTTTCATATTCCTGACATTCTCGTTGATATCTAACGCTGAGGTGGCTGAGGCTAGCCAAAAGATGACACATTGATCTCTTCTCAGGCCAGTTTAAATAGGAAGAGCTCTTTTGATCAGCAAATCTGCAGCAATACAGAAATAGTGAGTGAAGGATCAAATGATGCAGCCTCCATTCTTGTTTAACAGGAACATCATGCAGCTAGATAACGGACTGGGATTTTGATCCTACAACAATCAAAGCAATTGGGGAAACATGCAACAAGTCACGTCGTTCCCTTTGGGTTGTTATATGAGTTTCATCTCCACACAGCTTAGTTTTGAATAGACAGCTTTATTTATATTAGGTATCCTTAACAAAATTTTACATCTTGTTATTAGAACACCTGCCAAAACAACTAGTTTTAGTTAACACTTTTAATATCAATATCAGGAAATCAAAATCATACTTGACTTTTAAAGCATTATAATCTTAGTTTTAAATATTTTTAGTATTAGCATTAAATTTTTAACAACTTGTTACTGTTTACAGATCTCCTTTCTACCTGTGTAGAGATGTGGTCCATAATACACCCCCAATCCCCAGTTTAATGTATTTCTAATACATTAGAAAGTCAGCCTCCTTTCTAATCACTGTCTTTAACAAAAAGATCTGTTTCCCATCCTTATTTCAGCCATATACCAATCCTAGTCTGGCATGTTCAGTCAAGAATTCAAATGGTGCAAATAGCTACTGCTGCTAGGAAACAAGTCTGGCACCAGATGGAGCAATCACATAACTACTTTTAGCTCAGCTGCACTAACATTAAGATTCAACAGACTCAAAGTGCTGTTCTTCAGAATTTTGGTTTAAATCACCTTTCTTCACTTACTCAACCTTTGTTGTATTAATGTGTCAGCTGAAGTCATCTATTCCTGTCAGGTCTGTCATCCGTATCTAATGTGACAGTTTGTTTTAGGAACATACAGACTTCTTAAACAAATTGGGATTCTCCTTTACATTAGAGCTGAGAAGCTGTTTGCTTTTCTTTGCTATCTAACATTGAACTGTCATTGCAATCTCCACTACTGAACAGTTAACATCTTTTGTGAAGTGTACTGAAATATCTTGGCTTGCCAGAAGAATTAAGTTATAGGTTTACAGAAACACATTCTGTTTGAGACATCTGGAATCCACGATATTCAGGTTATAAAAAGCACAGTCTGCATTCAAGCCCTACATCTACAAAAAGTAAAAATCCGAGAGGTAAATCTGAGTTCTAAGGATCCTGAATCACTTTCCTATTTAGATAATTTTCTGTTAATTTGTAAAAATTCCCCCTACAAATATCCACCTATGATATTGTCATGCAATAAATGTATCTATGTTCCTAAATTGAGAAAATAAAATTTGCACTTCACAGCTTTTCCTGATACACATGGATCCATTTTATTTAATTTAAAAGATCCACTTGGTAGTCAGGAAGCTCTCTTCACCATCAGCGAACACTTACCTTGCTAAAATCAACAGTGCTGTTTTCTCTGCTCACATCATTTTTGTTTTCAATACAGGCTGGAGCAGACTGTGGGGAAACGAACTGACCTGCTAAAAAAAATACCATTATTACAGAATACTAACAATTACTTCTATAAATAAAGCGGTGTCTAATTAAATAGTTGTTAAAGAACTACATACATTTGATATCAAATGTATATGAAGCATCTAAACATGGCATTTTAATTAAAGACTTATTGAGAATAACACATTCTTAAAAGACAGAACATTTATCACGTGCAGTTAGGAATGGGAGAATGTAATTCAGAAAATGTAGAAGATACTCTTGAATACTGGAAGGCAAACTTTCTATGCCAATTAAAGCTTACAATTTTTAAGATATTACATCTGACGTAAATCCTGCATTCATACAGTTTTTGTACGTAAATTGAGGAGCTGCCAATTTGGGGCAATATCTGTCTACGAGAATGCTCCTCACTGAATAAAACAGGATTAATAATTTCCATAAATTTACTCATGTGTATAAGAATGTCCTCGTTATAGCAACAACTAAAAAACGCAACATAAAAGTATACTGCTACAAAAATAGATTAATTAGAAATAAAGATTATTTAAAAATTTAGAATTAAACAATGTGATTATTGACATACATAAAACAAACGTTTCAGCAAACACATTTTCAAAAAATACCAGTGAGGATTTAGCAAAGTATTTTACAGAAGTTTTAAAAATATCTCAAGATGAGAATAAAAGTTTAAACATGCCTCAGTCTCACGTAAGCAAACAGTAAGCCTTGTGACCAACAAAATTTTGCCAACAAAAGCTCAAAAAGAAAAACAGCATTAAGTAAAACATGTATGTCACATAAAGCATATTTTTACTTAATACCAACATTGCCCCAGTGCATGGCCAGAAGCCACCACACACACGCTGAGGGAGTGGGGCTGGCAGTAGGGCAGCACACAAACCCCGCAGGGTGATGGTCCATTCCCCGCTTGCTTTCACTCCTCCCTCCCCAGCATGGCAGGAGCCACACACAGTGCTGAACACTACAACAAACTACAAGAAGAAGTACCAAATATATGAGCCAACTATCTTTTACTGCCCTAACACATACCCAGGAATAACTACAGAGTCCAACTGGCCCAGAGTCAGCATCTCGTGCCCAGCATATATTTGTTTCCATAGCAAATAGTCTCTCATATGACTGAGAAATGATGATATGAAAACATTGGTTCTGGTGAAAATCAACCTAAACTTGCACAGTAACAAAGACCATATGTTCATGATACTTGAAGACAGTCAGAAAGTCCTAAGCTAGGCAACTATCTGGGCAATTAAAAAAGCCATGGTGTGTCCCTTCACACCACTGTTAACACAAGTTTGCAGTCCAAGCATGTCCTCAGTCACAGCCAGGAAACAGCGCTTCGCAGGATCCAGTCTGAACAGCACAGGAGACTTGTAAGGCTATCTCAACCACTGCCAAAATACTGAAGTATCCAGCTTCTGTCACAGCTGAGTGCTACAGTATGAGCACAGCTGAGCACACCCTGTCTAAGTCTGGTCATGATCACCCAGTTGAAACACGTGCTCAAAGAAAAGTTTGGTTTTCATGAAAATCAACATCTCGTTTTCCACTAGGCAAATTTCCCATGACACAAAACAGTTTTTAGACTCTTGTGCTTCATCCTGGTAGCATAGCCAGTGAGATTTCACTTTGATTAGGAAGTAGAGGAACAGAATGTTGTAAAATATATTGCTAGAGATCTTATTATTAAATGTATCAATCTAAAAAATGTAAATATTTCCATTTTCTCTCTGATGCAGGGTGACAGATCAAAGCAAGAATAGAAATTAGGGCTTTTGTTCAGTGCTACAGTGAAATAAACACAGAATGGCAAAACACCAGACATGACAAGCATGTTAACCTTACTGAGTGGATAAAATAAGTCAGGATTAGAATTTATGTATGACAAGAATAAAGGATTGATTTCAGAAAGCAACATATTAATGTAACTTAAAGGAATTCACATTAAAAAGACTATTAATCCCTAAATGTCACAAGAGACAACTTTTGCAAATTGGAAGCCAGAAATTATTAAATATGTATAATATTACCATAAATGGTCATTCAATTTGTCTGTTTTAATTAGAACTTTAAAAAACCCCACTGAGTTCCATCACTGTTACACAACCACCTTTACACTATGTATCCCCATACACTACTTCACACTGTAATTTTTTTCTCTATTGTTTATTTAGCAGTCTTAGAATTTCTTTTACAGAAATCATCCTGTGGTATTAGAGCTATCAAAAATAATTAACATATAAATATGATTTCTGTAGTATTTTGGAAACAAAAAAAACCTTCCACTAATCCTAGCAGAGAAGCCATAAAATCCTCACAGAAAATTTCTGCCCTAACCTACTCCCAGAAAACTTTAAATCTAGTAATACTAAACCTTCTTAGCTCTTAATTTCGTTTTAGACACTCTTCTATATTCTATGATCTCTATAAAGGAAAACACTTGTAATAATTACTCATACTAGTACACATACTATGTTATAAAGACGTTACAGGAAAGCAACAGAAATAGCAGTTCATTATCTTTCTGTTGCTAATTAGGGATTTACACATTTTTTATCTGGACTCAAAAATTCAAGAAAATGAGAGCAGGGATATCTGCCAGGGAGATAAAAATATTGACCAACAAAGGAGTCAGAGCATGGACCACCTGTTATAAATACTGAAATTTTAACATCCTAATTGGAGGTGTAAAAAGCCGCTAGGCAATTAGCATAACAGTCCAAAGTCCAATGTTTAACTTTTAAACATTGTGTCCACTTTTATTTTAGGAGAAAAATATATAAAAATATTCATAGTAGGAAATAAAAGCCACAACCAGTAAGTATGTGAGGTTTATAAGAATAGCATATGTTCTTTTTCTGTGCCAGCAGAAGACCTCAAACTTTGATTTACCCATATGCTGGAGTAATCTGAAAGAACACAAGTTTTACCTTGAGGCAGTAAGAGATGTTTAAATAGCTCTGCGACTTAGAGACAGCTTTCTGGAACTTGGAACAAGAAGTTTGTTTTTTTTTACTGTATTGAATAACAACCAAAGATACAAGGTAGAGAAGACAGGTAATTTCACTTTTCACATGATAGTCATGGGGAAAGTTTTTTAAAGACCATTTTAAACTAGGAATGCATGTTTCTTATGCAACAGTACAGTCAGTAAAATGCAAATCTGGAACTCGATCTCTGTGGGTCCCTTCAACAGAAAAGTAGACAAAAATGTACTGTTTTGGAGAGATTTTTGGTCCTATACACACTTAGTTTGTTCAATGTCTGTATATTTTGCACTAGATAATAGGTAGATGCAATGTTATGGAGAAGGAGAAGGACTGTAACGATACATGCTTATTTTTATATTTGGTAGCTTCCTCTACTTCTGAGCTATGAAATCCCCAAAATTAATAAATTAATTTAATTTTGTATATAATTTCACATTGACTTAAAGGAGATGCCTTTGGGCTGAATACTGTTAAGCACATGAGTAATTCCCAATGGGGTAGGATCAAAAACATACTGATGGCAACCTAGTGAACATTTGCATCACCATGCTACACTGGTTTTCCAATGGCATTAGAAATACTCAGTTTACTAAAGCATGTTGGCAACTAAATACATGCTTTACCCTCAAGTTGTTTTTAATTTCAGCAACTGATTGTTTTCTCTGAATAAAGGACATAGTTCTTGGCACCGTGATGATCCCATGAAGTAACAATCAAAAGAGCTATGTGAATGAAGAGGGGAGCTGTCCCATCATACCTAGACTAAAGCAAAAACCAAACAAATAAAAACATTTCCTCTCTGATTTCCACCACAACATCAACAGTCACGACTGCATCAAACTGCCTCTGGAATACAGGTACCCTAAATCCAAGTTTTCTCCAAATTTATCTTTATAATGTGGGAGCCTTCAAAGCACTATGTGCAAAAGGAGGAAAACAAACAATCAAAAAACCTAACACCAAATCCTAACTAGCCAGGCTTTAAATACCTACTCTGAGAAAAAAACTTGCAATGGTTTATTGCTTCTTGAGTTGGCAATACGGGGTTTAGGCTGCTAAGAATGGTGAAGGCATAAACCATCAACTCCTTGTAAGACAGAATAAGAGCAGCAACAGCCTCTTCATTTGTTCAGGTCCTCCATGCCCTGTCCTTGCTAGCTCCATTTCAGCTCTCTCAAGTAAAATGTTTATTTACACATTGTATGTGATAAATACAGTATTTTATTTTTGGGGAGTGCAATGTAGTACTCTGAGTCCTTACAAACCTAAAGTTTAAAAGCCTTGATTTACCCTGCATTCCATCTATATAAAGCATCTGAAGAGCTGCATTCTTTGAGAATTCAGCAGGGAGCCATTCGGATTTTTTAAAGCATCAGGCAATCCAAAGTACAATGTGGTATCATTGAAATATGCAGCCTACATACATAGGAACTTAATACCTAACAGATAAAACCACACTAAAATGGCTGTTATGGCTTATCTATGTATTAAAAAGACAATACCAGTACAGTCTTTAAATTTTACTTTAAATTGCTTTACATAAAAAATGAGTGTTTTTTTTCAGATAATGTGATATTGCCAGAGCTTTGAATAGAGCAAGAATTCATACAAAATATATTGTCATGCAAAGCCAAGCCACTTAAACATCAAAATCCACCAAAATAAGGTCCATATTTGTTACCCTAATAGAAGTTTGCATCTGCAGAGAGAGCTTAACATTTTGAGACTGTCTTGCCAAATTGAAAAACAAACAAACAAACAAACAGTAAATTAATGTCACATGCAACGTACTCTTACTCCCTAAATTTTAAAGCTCATGACAGTTAACTGTGCATTGTATTTATTAATCAAAATCCAAGAGGTGTCCAGAATGCCAATGACAAAACCCAAGAATAATGTATACAGATAAAAATCACACTTAATAGAAACAAACTGCATGCAACTGATACATCAAAGGAAACTGAATGAGAAAAGTTGCTTATGTTTCTAAACCATGTAGATTTCTTCCCATT